GGGGTAGGGTAAGGTGGGGGTGGGTGAGCCGGAAAGGGGCGAGGCGTTTATTGTATTTTGACACCTGTCATTTTTTTTAAAAAGTTAATTGAAGGTAAGAAGTTACTTAAGCCTTCCACACCCACCAACGTACTCACTTAGATAATTGTTTTGTAGATCCATCCAACGAATATTCGTTTGTGTGCTCCCATGAATGTAAATTGATGTGTATGCACGCGCGCACGTGTATGTGTGCGTATCGTTGAGGCCGTGAGCGGGTTTGTATTTTCCATGCCGCATCAAATTTTAAGTTGTCTTTATTTTAAAACAGGTCAGTAAAATCTTATCTTACGTTATCTATTCTCATCTTATCTCATCTCACCTCACCTCATCTAATCCCTTCTCATCTCACCTCACCTCACCTCACCTCACCTCACCTCACCTCACCTATAGCCCACCAACATTCGCAGGATACCGTCTCATCTCACCTCACCCCACCTCACCTCACCCCCACCTCATCCCACCTCATCTCACCTCATCCCACTTCACCTCACCTCACCTCACCTCACCTCACCTCACCTCTAGTGGTTAGGCTACCGGACTCGTAATCGTGAGATCACGTTCGGGGGTTCGAGCCTCAGCTCGGTCCGACGTTGTGTCCTTGGGAAAGGCACTTTACACGAATTCCCCTCTTGGCTCGGTCCTTTCGGAGATGGACATTCTACTTGGAGGCCCCGCCTCTTAATTTTAAATTAAATAACCTGATAGTATTGATAGGGGCGTCAACCCCATACCATTTCACTATTTTTTCACCTCACTTCACCTCACCTCACCTCACCTCACCTCCCCTCACCTCACCTCACCTCACCTCACCTCCCCTCACCTCACCCACCTGTAGCCCACCAACATCGGCAGGATACCACCTCACCTCACCTCACTCACCTATAACCCACCAACATCCGCAGAATACCGTAAACGCCCAGAGCCGTGGCCAGTGACAGACCTCCCACTACAGCACCTAGGGGTAGAGAACATCGTGAGAGAGGGAGTGAGGGAGTGAGACAGTGAGGGGGGAGGGAAGGAGGGAGAGAGGGAGGGAGTCAGTGAGTCAGTGAGTCAATGAGTGAGTGAGTGAGTGCATGAGTGAGTG